AAAACAGCAAGAAATGGTTCAGGGAGGGATATGCAGGGGAATGTTAGAGCAAATTTGCATTTGCTCATGCCGAGGTTTGTTTTGGGGTGTATTTAATCAAAGACATAATCCAAACAAATGAGGAAGTGTCACATCCAAAAATCTAACAAAGGATTCTTGAAAATTTTTCAGTGATAAGAGGAAGAAGTAAAGGTGGAGAAGGACTTTGAGCCTTCAATAGAGGGAATTACATTTGACAAGAGAGCAGGTGAGAGCCTGTGGAGGAATGGGGAAGGAAGTCTGACTTTGGGGAAATAGAGTTCATGAATGTCCAACAAATAAACTTGAGGGTGTTGTACACCTGACCTGACGATGACACTTTTTCATTGAAATTGAACAATAGATGCAATTAGGCAGAAAGTGACAAAGGCTTTTAAACCATCCTTAGAATTACTGACAGAAAGATAGATTGTGGAAGGGAGGTCCAAGGCCTTGGTCACAAGCAGAGCAACTTCCAAACACGACCAGGTTACTCGTGGCCATCTTCAAGGGATTTCGGAACAATTCCTATGGTGGAAATTCCCCAGGATCGCTGACCTTTCTTCCAGTGCTGAAAAACTCTTAGGGCTATGGTTACTTTCCTTATTTTCAGTCAGAGCTTCCCTGTTTCCAGATAAGACCCTTTCCAGATGTCCTTTTGCTGAGCCCCTCTGAGAATCCTTCGCCTTGTCTCTTCCATGGCTGAGAAAAATTTTCATAATGATGTCAGAAAATGTTAAATCACACCACCCAAAGAAGTTGGATAGTCTGCGTACTCTGAGGTTTTCCAGACCTGACTGGATAAAGCCACCAGCAGCCATAATTCACCTCACAGCTGTCCCTGTGTTAAGCAGCTGACTGGATCCAATGACAACCAAAGGTCACTTCCAACTTGAATTACCCACCAATCCTACAATCCTCCTGGCTCCCTGGATCATTCAAGCTCATCACATAAGGACCAAGACAGGCAAATCCCACTATTTCCTGAGCCATACTGCTCCTGAGGAATCCTGCTGTAAATAAAGATGATCCATGTCCCTTGTCCATCTCATTCAGCCTTGTCAGACCAAGGCTGCCCTGATGCGGATTTCTGTGCAATGACATTGCCTCAGTGGGTCTAATGAGCTCCTTTGCATTGTCCTTGCACTCAGCAATTAATGTGTCCCTGCAATTTGTCTCTCCACAGTTTAATGTTTGGGGCTTCCTTGGTGAATTTGGGTTTTCTGGAAGGGCAATTTTTCAAGATGTGGCTCTCCTGCTTGCCAGGGAGTACAAGTACAATCACATCCAAATACAAGTGCAAGGAAAAGAGAATTGAAAGAGCATCTGTGGATCTGTAGGATTTCAACACACAATATACTCGTCTGAGAAAGCCCATGATAGTTCCTACAAACAGCTGATCAAGATTGAAAGTAAAAGGGAAGAACACAAAAGTTACATGAGAGTGGTTCTCCTGTGGTTCTCCTGTCTATATCCATGCCCTGCTTGCTGGCTGCTCCAGCTCAAACTTTGCTGGCAAATCCCACTGTTATGACTCCTTTTGAATCAGAAAGGCCTTTGTTAGATAAACGTCATAGACCAGATGCTGTCATATTTCACATACCCTTACAAGTTGGTCTTCCCACACTTTAAATTTCCATGAGCTGGAAGTCTGCAGACACAAAGACCATGATAGATCTTAGTGGGACAGAAGGAAACACCTGTAGAGATGGTGAATGAGGAAGAGCATCCCTACCACAGGATTCATTGCCCCAGAGCTTATGGGATGTTGTGTTCTGCAACTCTGCAGATTCCCAGGAGCACTCAAAGCCTGTGATCAAGTAATGACACTCTCCACACTCCAACAAACTGTTTTCCTTCAGTGCTCCCTGTAGATTGCTCACCAAGTCCAGCAGGTTTCTAGAGAAGCACCACTGAAAATGGCCATCCTGGGTGTTCCACAGTCTCAGATCCCAGGAATCACAGAGGCAGAGTTTTCAAGAGCACATCAAAGGTGTTGTCACCTGTGTGATCACAGAAGAAATTATTTGCAATAAGACCTCTGTGTCAGCATCCGTTTGGATCCTGTGACCATGAGATCTTTCAGTGCACTGCAAAGAGCTCTCGTGGCTGTCAGCAAAGTCTGGCATCAGGGAGAATAAATTGAGGTAGAACATAATTTGTGCCTGTGTAGTAAAGAAAAGAAAGGAGGATCAGGAAGTGAGGAGAACCAAGATCTCTGGATCAAAGATTTCAAAAGCAAAAAATAAGCTGGGGCAGCAAAATCTCTGCTTTCTTGTTCCATAGACAGAAACAGAAACAGTTGATGCCAGAAAAATATTAAAAAGAAACATTACCTGAAACATTTACTTCAGCCTGAACTAGGGAAATGCTTGGAGTCATACTTAGCACAAGATTGTGACTTGACATGTGTGGAACACTATCTCTTAACATATTCAAGTGTATAACTACAAGACTGACAGTATAAGGCACCATTTACAATATTCAGTAATTTGCACAAAATAAATATCTGCAAAGATCTCTGGTGGTCATTTGCCATAACTCTGCTAAAGAATTCTGACTTTGAAGCTGGTTTTACATCATATTAGTTGGTCCCTATTTACCCCCAGTTTCTGGTTCTCCACTGTGATCTTCTGTCTGGTTTTGAGACAACAACATTGGTGCTTTTGTTTACCATCTACAATAGTACCATGCCCATCTATTACTATACATAAATATATACATGAATACATATGTCAAGGAATCAGAGAATGGTTTGGGCTGCAAGAGACCCTGAAGAACCCTTCGAGGGATGGTGCATCCACACCTTCAAAGAGCTGAACATGATCCATCAGTGTTCTCAGGTGGCCAGGAAGGGCCATGGCACCTGGCCTGGATCAGCAATGGGGTGGCCAGCAGGAGCAGGACAGGGATTGTCCTCCCGTACTCAGCACTGCTGAGGCCACTCCTGGAATCCTGTGTTCATTTGGGCCCCTCACCGCAAGACATGGAAGTGCTGGAGTCCAGAGAAGGGCAGCAAGGCTGGTGAAGAGTCTGATAAGGAAGAGCTGAGGGAGCTGGAGATGTTTATCCTGAAGGAAAAGGAGGCTCAGGGGGGGACCTTATCACTCTCCACAACTCCAGATAGGAAGATATAGCCAAGTGGGTCGCTCTGTTCTCCAGTCAACCAATGATGGAGCAAGGGGAAATGCCCTCAACTTGTGTATAGAGAGGTTCAGGTTGGTGATTAAGGGAAACATCTTTACTGCAAGAGTAATTAAGCTTTGGAATGGGCAACCCAGGGAAGTGGTGGAGAAACTTATTATTATCCCTGAAAATATCCAAAACACAAGGAGATGAAACATTGGCAATATGGTTTACTGGGTGTCCTGGGTTCACTAGATGATGCTTTTAGTAGTCTTGTTCCGTTTATGCTGAATACTAAGTTTTGCATCTTTAGGATTTGTTCCAGAGAGTGAAGGGGGCAGAGAAGAAGCAGCAGTTTGTTTTCAGACACTGCACTCACTCCTCCACATTCCTGCTCCTGGACTGTGTTGTCTGCGGATGGACAGACAGCAGGACAGAGCTCTCCTTTGGTTTAGTTAGTTTAGCTAGCTGAGGCAAAGCAGTTCTCTGGCCTGAGGGGTTTTTTCCCATTTTCTCTGGACGTGTTCAAAGCTGCTCGGGCCTGAACACCAGCTGGGCATCGGCAGCTCCCATCTGGGGCCCACCGGGCCGGGCCTGGGCCGCGGCATTTCCAGCGCCTGAGGGACTGATCAGAGACTGAGTGAGCTGAGCTGCAACCCGGGGAGGGGACTTTCTCAGTTTGTCATCTCTTTTGGAGCAGTAAGCAGTTTTATTGTTTAACATTGTTTAGGTTTATTGTTTATTAAACAGGTTGTTTTCCACTTTTCTCCAAGGATGTATTTCCCCCCAGGCCAATTGAATCGGCTTTCCTAGAGGGGCCTCTTTGAGGGTTCTCTCCAGAATTTGCCGTGAACCAGGGCACTGGGCATGGTGGTTCACAATCAAAGTTTGGACTTGATGATCTTGGAGGCCTTTCCCAACCTTAATGATTCCATGATTCTAAGGACAAAAGGGAAATTTTTTTAAAAACCTGGTGCTCCAGTGCCATCTCTGTGACTAGAAAATCTCATAAAAATCCTTGTGCATTTTAAGCACTTCCCGGGAGGGCAAGACAAGCAGGAAACTCCCTCAGCCCCAGTGTCACAATGTACTTTGGTGTGCCTGAATTACCGTGGCTGATCTGGCGTTTGGAGAGTTTTGGTCACTTGTCATGCTGTCACCTGGGGTGTTGCACAAGGCTTCTGAGTGAGCTATAAACGGAGGCAGGTGAGACACTCTGCACACACCACAGCCCTGCACTGGAGGAATTGCCCTCAGCTCTGGCAGCCCTGCAGCTGACAGCAAGGTAAGAGGCACCCTTGGCACAGGAGAGCTGGAAGGGCTTCTTGGGCAGCTGCTGTGAAGGGCAGGGCAAGGGAAGGAGGCTTTAGTGCTGGGCTGAGAGCTGCAGCACAGCCGTGAGGCTCTGCTGTGTGCGTGTGCAGCGACTGAAGCCATCTCTCAGGGCATGAGGAGATGGATGGCTGCTGCAGGAGAGACAAACCTCACCCAGGGACAGCCTGGAGGGGCCATTGATACACAGTTGTGGGGGGTGACTGGGAGAGTATTTACAGCTTCATCTTGGGTATGTAACTAAACCAACACACCCAACTAATTTGTACTGTGTAGTGGCGGGCACAGGTCTCGTTTTATGTTTTCCTTCTAAACTGAAATGCCCTCACTCCTTTCCAGATGCTGCTATGTTTCTATTCTGAAAAAAATATTCCACTTTTCCTTTTCTGCACCACACTTGCCATAATTCTCTGTCTGGAGTAGAAAGTCTTCTCACAAGCTCTGCTTGTTTTCTCTCTTCCTTTTGTGCAGGCTGGTATCCAGCTCCTATAGCAAGAAATCTGCACCCCAGAAGTCCTGCAGAGATGGCCAAAATCATCATTTATGAGCATGCCAACTTCCAGGGCATGTCCAAAGAATTCACCACTGACATTTCCAATCTAAAAGATGCAGATTGGAATGATATTGTCTCCTCAGTGAAAGTAATTGGCCAGCCTTGGGTGGCTTATGAGCATGTTGATTACAAGGGTCAGTTTCTGGTGTTTGAGGAGGGAGAATATAGCTTTGTAGGGAAAGAGATGAATGACAGGATCAGCTCTCTGCAGGTGATCACTGAATATCTGTATAATCCCCAGATCACTCTCTATGAACACAGTGATTATCAAGGGAAGAGCAGAATAATAAGAGAACCAACCAACCTGGGTGCGGGACATGACAATGACATCATGTCTTCCCACAAAGTCCAGAGAGGTGTCTGGCTGCTGTGTGAGCACAGCGATGGAAGTGGAATTCAATACCTTGCCCGAGCCCATGAGAACGTTCCAAATTACAAGGCAATCAATTTTAACGACAAGCTTTCCTTCCTGCGCCCCCTGCGCCCTGGCTGTGGCTGCTAGAATGCAAATCCCGCAGCGCTGAGAAAAGATGCAGAAATTTGACACCCGGATCTCCGCCTCTGCTGGTGCTGCCTTTTCCCCCAGTGTCCCAGGACCACCGAATGTCAGCGCTCTCTGCTGTGCTGCACTGCAGAGCTGCACTTCTCTATCCTGCCTTGCAAGCTGCTCCCACGGCACCAATGCAAGAATCATCAGGATTGATCATATGAGAGTGTCCAAGCTAGAGGAGGCAATGCCACATGTGTGAAACCTGTTGTACCCTCAGCTGGCATTCCAGAGTCCTGGCCTATGGAATGTAGAAGCATTGCAGGTTGTGTCTGTGGCTAAGTGAAACAGAAAGTGTCAGTGCAGAACCAGCATCACTTCTTTTGTAATTTGCATTGCAATGCCCTTGTGGTACTGTGGCCTCTGCCATTGTCTGTAATCCATTTTCTGTTGCTGCCAATAAAGAATGCTTTGCAATCAGCAGTGGGTCTGTTTTGTGCATTTTTGGAATAGATAAATATTGCTCTTCCATGCTGAGATGTCTCTGTGTATCCAGAGAATGGTCCCCATAGTCACTTCCAAAACTTTTTCCTGGATGTCTCTTGCAGGATTGTGTTTCCTTCTGGTTTACCTGCTCATTAACAGTGGGGTCAGGCTTGACTCTAAATATCTTGGTGAGCATGTAGATCATTGCTGGTCCTGGCCAAACACTCACCTCCAGAATGTACATTGCTATCACACACTTGGTTGTATTTGAAGGTAGTGACTGTAGAAATGGTGCAGTCTTCTACTGCCCTAAATCTCATCATAAACAGAATGTTTTTAATAACTTCAATTCTTTAAACCTAATGGTAAAATCTGCCTTGTTTTTTCACAGCTGTAATATCCTGATAAGGAATGAGGAATGACAAGGGTAGATCAGGTAAATCAGTGCAGTAACAAACCTTGCTGTCCCACACTGCTGTCTCTGCCCTGGCTTCATCACCAGCATGGGACAATATCTGCCCATTCTCTCTCTTGCCATCATCAGCATCTTGAAGTAGAAAACCCCTGGAGGTTCCCGCCAGCATAAATTGTTCCAGGAGTCCATACACTGTGCTTGGGATGTGATAGGCACAGCTACCCCTGCCCCAGGGAGCAGTGCAATCCTAGAGAACGGCAACTGAAAGCTTCAAAGAGAAATATGGATGGGGTGGTTTCAGGAACTTTTACATCTGCTGTTAGAAATGGGGAGGGGGGTGGGGGGGGGGAGTTTTGTTTGTTTTATTTTGTTTGTTCTGTTTTTTAAACCAAAGGATTCTTGTAAGTTTTTCAGTAATACGAGGATGAAGTAAAGATGGAGAAGGACTTTGACCCCTCAGTGGAGGAGATTACATTTGACAAGAGAGCAGGTAACAGCTGCTGCTTAACTGGGAGGGAAGTCTGATGTTGTGGAAATGGAGTTGAAAAATATACAACATGTAATCCTCAAGTTCTTGTACAGATGACTTGCTGATGATATTTTTTCAAGGAAATTGAACAAAGAATGCAATTAGCCAGAAAGTGACAAAGGTTTTGAAATCTTCCTGAGAATTACTGACAGAAAGATTTATTTGGGAAGGGACTTCCCTATTTCACTGCCTTCCTCACAGCAGATACAAGGAAAGAAGGTTACTCAAGGCCGTTCTCAAGAGATTTTTGAAAATCTGCAAGGGTGGAGACTCTCCAGGGTCTCTGACCTTTCGGCCAGTTCTGAGCAATCCTTGGCATGAGTTTTTATTCATTTTTTTATGTCTGAGTTTCCCTGCTGCCATCTAAGACTCTTTCCAGCTGTCCTTTGCTGAGCCCCTCGGATAACAGGAGCCTTGTCTTCTGCAGGCTGAACAGGACCAGGCCCCTCAGACTCTCCTGGATCATGGGATGCTCCTGTGCCATCCACTGGCCTGTATGGGGCTCCACCATTTTGTTCACATTGTCCTTTTAATAGGGCATCTGAAACAGATGCAGTATTCCAGGTGTGCCCTCTGTTCAGAGGAGATGGAATAAACTCTTCCCTTCCCCTGCTCCTCCAGTTCTCATGCTGTGCAGGATGCATATGCCCTTCAACTTCTTATCCACCAACAGAAAGGAGACAGAGAGAAGCCATTCTGACAGGACTGGAATTAATCTCTCAGGGGTTGCATATACTCAATCCTGACATGCCTGAGGTAGGGTAAAACCTGTACAGAAGTACTGACTAGAACAGCTCCTCTTCAAAAGGAGTCTAAATAAGGAGTTTGTGGGATTGAAAGGAACAAAACAGGAAAATCCTTTGCTGACAGACTACAGGAAGTTGGAGTTAAGTGACCAGGATGCTTTTGTCTTCCTCTGCCCATGCTCCAAAGAGTTGAGATGTGTGAGTCAAGTGAGCCAAATCTCTGAGTGTGAGAGGGCATCTGGCTGAAATCATCAGGAAAGCAACGATGGCCGAGCAACCTCAGTGTTGAGAGAGGCACAGAACATCAATGAAACACCAGATCACTCCTGCAAATGCACCTCCTGAAAGCATCACTTTGCAATCTTCTTGTGCTTCTCTTGGCTTGGCAGCAAACTGCTCTCCTAACTGGCAAACCTACAGTGAAAGTTTGCTTAGAGTCAATCACTGATGAGACAAAGAAAGTCAAGAAATGGGGCAGACCTGTTGGATGTCAAGTGCTTCAAACAATTATTCTCAGCAGTTAATGAGTAATAAAGCTGCTGTATGCACACAGAAATAGGGTAACTTTTCTGTTTGGGGAAAGGAGGGAATTTCATTGTGAGAGGCTGCAGCTGCTCTTTTCTCTGATCCTTTCACAATACTCTGAGTTTCTTTTGCAGAAAGATTTTCTTTCCCTGAGAGACAATTTTTCAGGAATTCTGAAAGAAGGCCTGGACGACGAATGAGATTGTGGATATCACCTATGATATGTCGTGGATGTGATTCTTACTCTAAATGAGTCAGAAATCCAGAAGACATTGAGAGCAGGATGTAAGTGTGTTTTGGGAGGGAGGTGCCTGTGTGTTTTCCTGAGAATTACTGAAGGAAGACGAAGGGAAAGCAAGAGTTATTTCCAAAACAGACTAGCCAATAAATGTGCTGTGGGCTTCCACATCTGTAATGTGAGATTATCAGCTGAGACCCTTTCTTTAGAGCAAGAATCCTCAGGAGCAATACAGCTCAGGTAATACTCGGATTTGCCAGTTCTTATCCGTAAATCCTGAGCTTGAGTGACGATGCAAGGCAGGAGGATTGTGGGATCACAAGACAATACTGGTTCAAAGTGATCTTAGGGTGCCCTCATGTCCAGTCTGCTGCTTGGTAAGGCCAGAGACCCTGGGGAATCTCCACCCTTGTGGCTGTTCACAAATCACTTGAGCATGGCCATGAGTAACCTGTTTTCCTTTGGTGGCATCTTTGCATTGAAGAAGGCCTTGGTCTAGGGAGGTCCATTCCAGAATAAATCTTTCTGTCACTAATTCTAAGGAAGACTTTAAAACCTTTGTCACTTTCTGGCTAACTGCATTCTTTGTGCAATTTCCTTGAAAAAATGTCATCAGCAAGTCATGTGTACAAGAACTCGGGGATTACTTGTTGTGTATTTATCAATTACATTTCCCCAACATCAGACTTCCCTCCCAATTCAGCAGCCGCTCTTACCTGCTCTGCTGTCAAATGTAATCCCCTCCACTGCAGGTTTAAATCGTTCTCCATCTTCATCCTCCATTACTGAAAAACTTACAAGAATCCTTTGTTATTAAAAAAAAAAAAAAAAAACCCGAACCCTTTCATTTAGCAGATGTAAAAGTTCCTGAAACCACCCCATCCATATTTCACTTTGAAGCTTTCAGTTGCCGTTCTCTAGGATTGCACTGCTCCCTGGGGCAGGGGTAGCTGTGCCTATCACATCCCAAGCACAGTGTATGGACTCCTGGAACAATTTATGCTGGCGGGAACCTCCAGGGGTTTTCTACTTCAAGATGCTGATGATGGCAAGAGAGAGAATGGGCAGATATTGTCCCATGCTGGTGATGAAGCCAGGGCAGAGACAGCAGTGTGGGACAGCAGGGTTTGTTACTGCGCTGCTGTGAAAATATTTCCTGCAGGGGGCTGAGGGAACAGGAAGCGTTGGGAAAGTGGCCAGGGCTGTGTCAGTGGGTGAGAACAGGAGGAGAGAGGCTGCAGGAAGGCACAGGCAGCTGAGAGGGACACTGAGCCTCAGCACAGGGAACACAGCTTCAGCTGGGCATGGCAGCCACAGACACACAGACACACAGACACACAGACAGAACTGTCCTCAGGGACCATCCAAAGGGCCCTTGGCAAGCTCCAGCACTGGCTCCATGTGCACCTCATTCTAAATTGGCTGCTCTCTCCCAGAGCCATTCAGGCCCGAGCCATCCAACACTGGACCCAGGCCCTTGGCAGCCTTTACAATGATAAAAGCAAAAGACTGGAAGTTTTCTTCTCCTCTCAGGGCAAATAATCCCACAGCGTTACTGTGGAAATACTCCAGGGGATCCTGCATGGGGAGGAGTTGGTGTCCCAGGAGAAAAAGAGAGGGAATGCCTCACGGTGGGAAACTTTTACACCTCGGGGAATGAGGGATGGAGGAATAGGACCACAGCCAATAGGACACAATTGAGGAACGGGTCAGGGGATGAGTAAACCCGGGACAGACTTCTACCAGCAAGGATTAGGAGTGGGGAAGACCATGTGATCAGTGCAGATTATCAAACATCCAGTGCAAAAACAACTAAATAACAATTTAATGCAATAAAACTATCATGTGGTTCAAAGAGGCCAAGTGCAGCTCCTGTCTGGGACCAGGGCAAGGAAATCAGGGCACACAGCAGGCCAGCACAGAGGGAGAGGAACCCTGCAGGGCAGAGCTGCCATGGGACAGCTGCCACAGTGCCCAGCTCAGGGCTGCAGCTCTCATCAGGCACTGCTGCAGGAGGGCTGAGACTCTGCTCGTCCAGCTGAACTTGCACAGGACTCACCAGATCCTGATCTACCCTTGTCATTCCTCATTCCTTATCAGGCTATTGCAGGTGTGAAAAACAAGGCAGGTTTCACCATTAGGACTAAAGAATTGAAATTATTGAAAACATTCTGTTTATGATGTGATTTAGGACAGTAGAAGGCAGCATTACCACTACAATCACTGCCTTGAGATACAACCAAGCGTGTGATAGCC